TGCTGATATTTTTGTAAAGTCCTGCCTTTATAGAGCGCCTCATCGTCGCGTAAGGGCGTTCGTTGGCCGTGAGTGAATGATGATGAATTTTCGGAATGGATTCTCGTAGCTCGACTGAATGGAATTGTCGATGCCATGGTTGATAGGCTGTGGGCCGGGCGAGGGATCTAGTCTTATATAGGGTAAAAAGTGTGTGAGTATGGAAAGAAAATCGCTTCGCTCCGCTCATTGAGTTTGCGTACGAACGTAGCTCAGTCTTCATAAGAAGAAGCTTCACGGCTTTCATCACTTCCGCACTTGGTGAGTGCGAAGTCTACTGCGACTTTCCTCTAAAAAGGAACGGAGTGTTTACTTTACTCGTATACTCATACTGGTATTTATTATCCCACATAGGTCTAACGATTTCTACTATGGCCAGCGTAAGGGTGGCGGAGGAGGAGGATTCCGTCGTGCATCATTTGGGTCGTATGGGAGTGGAGGAAAGGGTAGTATTGGGCGCAGTATATGGGAGATATGCACATGGTCATCAACTACACCTAAATCTGGGAAAATCTGGGAAAATCTGGGAAAATTCTTGAGAATTGATAAAGAAACTTCTGAGCTGAACTGAGGGGAGTGAGGAAATATCCGTTTAAAAATTGGCGAACACTTGAAGAGGAGGTCACGAGTTGCTGTTCTTGTTGTTGTTGTTGTTGGTTTAGGCACCTATTCACAGTATCAGCAAGGGGGAAGGCAGTACCAGTCGGAAGGCGGGGGCCAGCAAGGAGGCGAGGAAAGGCCGTATAAGAGGGCACGATACTAGGAAAGTATTCAACACTTATGGACACGATGATGATGGTCTCGAGTTGTCATTGGTGATGGTGTGGTATGAGTAGTTTGCTGTTTTATGTTGTTGGTAGTTGTATGGTTACCCTCAGCAGTACTTGCGGGAGTGTGTGTTCGACCATTGCCCGTAGATGATGTTGTTGCAGCTCTCCGGTCTAGAATACTGTTACCATTAGCAGCGTTGGTGACACCACATGGTGACACGGGGTGTGATTCTTCAGAGGATGGTCCTAGATGTTCTGGGTTGGGCCCTGCTGGAGATGCTCCTGCTGTCAGTGGTCTTCTGTGTAGAAAGTTATTGTTCGAAACTGGAGTTCATAAGGCCTCAATAAGGCATTCAATAGCAGCACATTTATCATCTATGTTGTCGTTATTGAACTTGAATGAAGTGCCGAAACGTCGTAGTAGTGGCGCGTTTGAAAGGGATGTGTGGGTAGGAGGAAATAGTATTGGGGACATTGGCATGCGAAGGACCGGTAGAAGTGTTGTTTTTGATGATAATATTACTATAACGTCACTGCGGCTGGGGGGGAAGGGCCGACTGCTGGTGCGGGGAAGTAGTGGAGGGGAAGTGCTGTGGTCGGCCCAGCGGTTGGGGAGGTCAGTGAGCAAGGAAGAGGAGGAGGACTTGATGGTGGATGCGGTGTCTTTGGCTAGTCCTGTGGTGGGCAGGGCGGACGTGCATGCAATCGATAAGTTGGAGTTCTTTGGTGGTGGCGCGGATGAGCTCGTGGAGTTGAGGGCTGTGACGAGAGGTCCCGGGTTCGAATCCCACGGGTTGCAAAATTTATTTGTGGTATTGGATCCATGGAATGAACGATCAGTCGTGTGGAGAGGACGACTAGCCAGTACGGCTCCTTATGTTGACTATAATACTGTTATCAAGGAGGGCTTGAAATGGGCCCCCACACCTACTACTACTACCGATCGGCCTCGGCTGTTCACGGCCACCCTCTTGGATAGGGCGATGACATATTGTGGTAACAGGTCGATTTCAGTGGACCTGTGGGAGGAACTGATCGATTCGATCGCGGAGGGGTCGAGACGCTATTATAAGTCCTTTGATGAGGTTGTTGATGCCTTAGTGAGTTCGTATACGGGTCGAGGAGCGGAGCAATTGCTGGACATCTTGGTGGAGTCGGATTGGACAGCAGTAGGAGGATGTGAGGTTGGTGTGATGGAAGGGAATAGGAGGATGTTGTGGCGGTTGAGAGACGACTTTGAGGGGCTGAGTGGTCTGGAGGAACCACTGAGTAGCGATTGGAGTGGTATGAAAACGTCGGGAGTAGGGAAGCGTCCCTTTGTACGATATTTTCATGTCGACGATGTGACTACTGCGGTGGATGAAATGCTGATGAAGATTTTGTCGAGTGATGGTTGAGGTGATGTCGGGGCGCGTGAAAATTGCCGTGCCTCGGGAAGAGTAGGAAATGGTCTTGTGTTATGTTTTTTATATATCACTACTCTTCTCCCAGGAAGGTAGTGGCCAGTGTAGGCTGCGAACTCAGCGGCTCCGAACTGAGCGGCCCCAGTCTGGTTTATAGTATTCGGAAACAAATTTACAGGTATAGCATATGATCGTTTTTATCGTTGCTGCTTCAAGCGGCCTTCTGTGGCTATCACATCGTCAGTTGCAATAGTCGTGTTGTGTTTGACGAGCTCAACTTTGGGAAACTTGTCCTTAGTATTTTTCTGGAATGCGGTTAATCATTGCTTGCGTGCATATTGGTGGTAGTCGTGCCGCATTAGGAATTGGTTTAGTGGTGGAGGAGCTGGTGGATGTGGCTCGGTCGAGGGTCTTGGTCCATTTGGACAGTTTACAGCGAGTGAGTAGGAGTGTTTGTGATTCCCTGGTTGCCGGTCCCTACTGCACGCGTACCCACTTTGGTGATTATGTTGCTGCAAGGGGGATAATACCGGACGCGCTTCGCTCCGCTAGAAAAGGCGATAGGAATATTTTCAAGGCAGTAGTGTCAGCGGCGGTGGCCACAGGTGGGCTGAGCTTGGGTGTCCCTCCACAGCTAGGCTCACGTCCATCGGCTGGCTTTGTCCGGAGGGCATGGTCTGCTGCTGGGGAGGGTGACCTGGAGTGGGTGTTGACCAACAGGACCACGGTGGTGACACCGGAAGTGGTGTCACCAATGTGCTATGGTGCTTCCCAAGTTGTCTTTAAGCAAGCGGTCGTGCTTACTTCACTGATGGTCCGCGTTGCTGAGCCGGGGGGGTATGTGTTGGTGCGGGGTGTGATGGTATCGTTGTCAATAAAGGAAGAGTTGAGGTGGTGGTGTGTGCTCACTCAAGTGGGTGACCATAACGTCATCGAAGTGGCTCGGAGGTTCTCCTCGGTTAGGGCCAGATGGGGTAAGGTCAGCCTCCCGATCGACGGTCTTGACATCACTAGGGTCACCTTCCACTCCAACAGGCTCATCGAGATCCTCTCAATGGAAGCAATCACAGAGGGCCCTACAACACAGCAGGATGGTAAGGCTGCAGTGTTGGTGCTCACTCGTCCAACAAGAGGGTGGGTCGAGGCTGTGGTTGGTCCTAAGGCACCCTATGTTGATATGACTACTGTCATGAGGGAAGGCTTCACTTGGAATAGTGAGAGAGAACCGCACACTTCACTGCCGCCGCCGGACCCGATGTTCACTATGGCTAAGCTCAGAAGGGTATTGACTCACTTGAGTGCTCATCAGTGCTGCTTTTGCGGCGACGATGATGTATTGCGCACAGCGAAGAATTTGGTGTATCGTATGGAGCAAGTGGTGGGCACACGCTGGGGTCGGCTTGTTGCTGGCAGTATTGACGCTATTGTGGAATATTCTGTGGCTTCTGCTACTATGCATTATGACGTTAACTTCTTGAGCGCTATGGCTATGTCATCAGCTATCGAGTGTGAGAAGAAGGACTGTCCTGTTGCCGATCCTACCGGTGAGTCGGTGAAGGCGTCACTGTTGAGGCGACTGGAATGGATAGAAAAGGCCTATGATAAGGCGAGAGAAACCTCACGAGCTGAGAGGGGGCGTAGTTACACCATCACTGCTGGTGCTGAATTAACCAAGCAGCCCTATACTCACCATCAACAACAACAGCGAGCGTCGTCAAGGTTGGATCGATCGTCTGGTCTGTGCTCTATGTTACTTGTGTTAGGTCGGCTCTTACGGCAACCGAGTTGTTGGACTTCCTAGAGGACTTGGCGGTAGATGGTGGTCAAGTTGTGGCACCACCGGGAGGCGTGGCGGGTTGGAAACGACAAAGGAAGCGACGCAATAAGAAAGAAGTCGACCGTTGAGCTCTTTGGAGAGGTTCTTAGTGTAATCATGATATTTAGTTCGAAGCTGTGTTATCATGATGATGCT